TCAACAGTTATGTTTGATAAACCCTTGACGTAAATTCCTTTGTCTGGGCGTTCCTTAATCTCAGGTTTGTACTTATACTCCTTAACTAGCAGATCTCGGATTTCTTCATTGTATATTTCCAGGTATGACACGCGCAGTAGATATTTGTCATGTTTTTCCAGACTGCGCTGGTGAGTACTGCTCAAAATATGTTCACAACATCGAGGGATGATTCCCTTTTGTGCCGAAGGGGTTTGAATACCGTCCATTGTAAATGTCTTCCCGCACGATGTCTGCCCGTATGCAAACACAGTACCATTGTATCCTTCAACGACGCCGGTAACAATTGGACGTACAATTTCAGAATAAATCACCTCTGTGCTACTTGAAATGCCGTAAACTCCATCAAATTTAAAGTTTTTGGCTGATTTAGGATCATCTCCAGACCTTTGGATGCTGCACTGATGCAATAAGGAGTTAGTTTCTATCACAAGTCTCGTGTTCATTTCTCGTTCCTTTTCATTCAGGGGTCTACAACGAACAATCACTTTGACACTTTCACTCATGCTAAGCTTGAGGGCGAAGGAGATGCGATAAGTAAGAGCCCCTATAAAAACTTCTCTTGGTAGCTGTCATTTGCCGGTTTTTACTAAAATTCATAAGGACCTTTGTTTTTCGTGATAAAAAGTGCTGCAAAAAGAGAAAGATCATCTTTTCTTAAAAGACAAATACACAACCCACCATCATGCTTAGGCTAGCTTTATAGGAGATGAAATTTTTCTCAAATTCATTATGTTCCAGATTTATTAATTTAGGGAATTCGGATTCGCAGGGCGTTAACGCGTATCAGAAAATCCAAGAACATTTATTTGGATACAAACTTTTGACTTAGTTTAGGCTATGTTCACACCATACCGAACAGCTTTTGCTCAGGCACAAAAAATTTACCGGTTCGGGCTTCGGTTCACACATAAGAACTGTGATTTGGGCGCGATTTCTGTAACGGAGCGAAGCTGCCCCGAGCCGATCTTTAAAAGGGGAGAGTGGCATATCGGACAGGTGTTCAAATTGTTCCTGATAGCTTGAAGTCTCGGCACGAAAAGCTATCCCGTGGTATTAGTCTAAATATAGGTTTAGATCCCCATTTAAAATTTTCCCACCATTCAACTGACGTGTCTTTATATGAAAGTAGATCATCGCAGTTATAGACGCAACTTAAGCAGTTGCGAAAAGAAAAAAAATCAGGCTTGACAGGATTCGAACCATTAACCTCTGCCATACCGGTGCAGCGCTCTTACCAATTAAGCTAAATAATAAGCCAATGCAACTGGGAGCAGAACGTTGAATTGGTTTGTTATAAACCCGTGAAAGGATGGTGATGAAATTATGAATATATGAAAATCATATAATGTGAACTGCGGGGTGAAGAATTATATAAAAGTAGATCATCGCAGTTATAGAAGCAACCGCTTTAGGGCAAGAGCTAAGAGTGAAGAAAGAACTGAGAAGGAGACTCTTCGATGCTTTTGTTTTGTGTTAGCTTCCTGCCACCCGTACGTTTGCAGGAGTTTGGACATTCTGAAGAGATTACTGATCTCTGTTCAAACGAAGATTATAAGCTTATCGTGAATAAAAAAAATAATAAACGAAAAGTTGCGTATATCTGAAAGAAAGGAAAAAAATAAAACAACTAGTTGCTATTAACAACTGAGCATCAAAATGTAATGATCCGAATCACTGGTACCAGCATTTCAGAAAGGAACATTGAAGAGAGTAGTGTTTTGAAGAGAAAGCTCCTTCATATCTCATCATGTGGTGTTTTAAAGCCATTTTAAGTATAATTTAGAACCTGCTAGAAACAAAATGATCAGAGCTCTCTTTGAGGTGTTTGTGTGCCAATGGCCTAGTATTTTGCTATGGTATCACTTCCGACTCGATGAGGCTTAAAGCGCAGGTGTTGCTATAACACAAGACCGTTACGAGGTGTAACAAGCGAAGGCCTGCATAGACCGTAATAGCTAATAAGAGTGATACAAATTAAAGCA